AAAGCCCCTTTCTTTTTGATTGATTATTATTTTAACTTCTTTGGCATCATCAACAGAAAAGCAAACGCGATTAATGGCAAAACTGGTGACTAACATGTGTTGAAACACAGAACAACAACTTGAGAGAAAAAAGGAAATGGCATTCATTCCGAACTTTACCAAAAGCTCCAACATTACCAGGTAATGGGCGCAGTGCCGCACTTCTCCGGTAACGTTACCAGTCGTCGCATCAGCAGCAACCACGTCTATCATCTCGTCCATCATTCGGCGTTACGAACCAAGTTCGGCTCCTGCAAGCTCGCATAGCGCCTGGTAGACACGCTATATCTTGCCTGTAGTTCACGCGTGAAGTGCGGGGTAGCCTACCCTAAGAATCGCAGGCGCCGAGCTCGCGTAAATTTTTTGTGGCCACAAATCCCAAATAGAAGATCCCTTTGCGGAAAATATGTGATGTCCGACGCCCCCAGCCACACGCCCAATTTGTAGCTACACCAGTTTTCGCTGCAATCGACAGAGGCGCATGCAGCTTCATCCGAACTAAGACTGTCGGCCCTGAGATCGACTCCCGGCTGGGGCCCAAGTCCCGGCTCCCATCTAAAGGAAGAGCGAGGGAAAGGGGGGGGGGGCACGTTTTTTCCCTCTGGTAGAAACAGTCTTTAAGGGGCTGTCTAAAAATAATCTCTGTAACTTCCATTCAATTTGTTTCGTAGAAACAATGTTGGTTAGGGCAAGTCCAAAAGCTACTTTTTTCGATTCCGAATGACAACGCCTGCGGCGCGTCGGGTAGGCCTTCCCGCCAAGTGTCTGTCTGTAGATTGTGGTCTACCCTCAGCGCCTGAGCGGCGATACCCCCTGCTACCCGCCTACACTGTAGTTGTTTGAATGTTTGCTGCGTAAAGAGTTCGTTTCGTTGCTTGGCGTTCCTGCCCATCTCGAAGCAGCTGATGGTCACGTTGGCGCCGGCGGGGACAGCAACATCAACGCCGTGAGGTGGGGTGGGCCTAGAGCGGCCGAAAGGCGCTGCTCTCGCGCGCCCGACGAGCGCTGGGTAGGCCGCCCGCACAACGCCCAAGCCGGATGGGCGGCCTCGAGCGAGCCTCCGGGTGGCCACCAGGCGGTCACCACGCCCTGAGGAAGAGTCGCAGGCTCTCCTTCACCACCCGCGTATGAAGCCCTGGCTGCACCCTGATATCCTCTGGAACCCGAGCAGTGACGGCAAAAAGCTCAACAGTGCAGTCAGTCACTGTGCTCCACAAGTACTATCGACACGACGTGAGTAGACTACGGGGCTGTCAAAATAAGATACGGTTTGGCCGACCGACCGACCGACCGTCAACCTCGGAACGACCAGGACGACTGATATATCGTGTTTGGGGGTTTTCTCGCACGCTGAGTCCAAATCTGGTAGTGCCGATGTCGTCCGGGCCCCCGGGGACGTCATTGGGGACCTCCCGAGCACGCCGATGACACTCCCACGACAAATACGATTCGGCTCCGAACGTCGTTACACACGGGCTGGTGCATATTTCTTAAAAGTCACCAAATATAATTATTATAAATAGCAAATCGCCCATCATAGTTTATTATCCTGATCATTTCACTGTTGTCACCATGGCACTTTCCTTGGCGTTGCCGCCTGGAGCCACACAACGATGCACGGGACAGGAAGCACCCCCAAAGGATCACATCCTGGACAAGCGAGGCGGGATTGCCTACCCCAGCAGGAAAGAATCACAAATCCCGCGACCACGATATGTCGGTGAGTATGCCGTAATTATTGCTCTCCCCCTTTGCCGTGCCGCGTCCCCTACCCCTCTCCTCCTCCCCACCCGCACCGCCCATTTCCCGCGTCTTTATGGAAACGTAAACAAACATCGGTGTCACGATCGGCGTTTCTGCAAAATACCGATAATACCTACTCATATAATTATTGATCATAGGATTTTAACCAGAATTTTAGAGTGGACATCGCCGCTTTTCGTTATTAATCGCAAGGTATAGTAATTACTTGTTTCCGGTCCGGAATATTGAATTGTTCCATTCCGGTTATTGTTGTAGGAGGTTATGCTCCTCTTGCTCAATTTTTACACGCACAATTAAGTTGTAAGTTATCTTTTGAGGCCGAGTAAATGATGCCCGTTATGTAAATAATTTGGCTCACTGTCAGCTTTGTTGAAAAGGTGTTGAATGGGTAGACTCCTCCAATCCATGCAGTATGTTAAATACTGTTGTAGGTCCTTATGCATGCAAATGGGTGAACCTGCCAGTGTTTTATCACATATCATATATTTTACTCTATTTTATTCTCATGGAACAGAAAACTTTATTACTTTCTGATTGGGGTGCAAACCGAGTGGTACTATTTGCGTAATCCCCCAAACAATCAATCAATGTGCGTTGGAGATAATTTGCAGCTGCCCCTTCGTAATTAATGTTTAATCCAGTGCCAAAATTAGTTATTTGAAAGACCATAGTCATTTAGAGACGCATGGGGGGAGAGGCATTTAAAAGTGTATTGTATGAGTAAATTATATGTAATTAATAGTTGATGAGCGCTAAAAGTACCGTTTAATATGATTGCAGGAACTCGGCCCAGAAATGTTCTTGACATGAGCAAGAGAAGTCTATGGAGTCATTTTACCCAAAAGAATAGGTGGGATGACATGACAGTAACCGCCAACGCTGGTCCAATTTGTCTTGACTATGAGGAGCTTCCTTTCGTGGCAATTTGGAAAATTGCAGGAATTGGTTTGGATTGGTGGGGCAGACTCCCTTTTCACATGCTCTGTCTAAATATCATGGTGCGACCCAATACAGCGGAGTTCTTAGCCAGTGGGCCTAAGGTAGCCTACGTACCCACCCTTAGTTAAAGAGACCAGCTCTTACCAGCTCTTATAAAACTCAAGTTTCTGTGGACAGGGGTGGTTTTTGACAGAATCAAAGGTAGTTTTGTGGTGCCTGGTTCACCCCTGTCGATTCGAATACTCCTCCATCGAAATCCGGACCCATCAATTTATAGCCTTTGTAAATTTTGCCAAAATGAAAAAAAAATGAAAATCGCTGGAAATGGTTGGGATTGGTTTGACAGCACCCTCTTACTAACTCTCCGTCGAAATTTCGAGTCGCAGACCCATTTTAAGCGAGTTACGCCCGTTTTTCT